CCCCAAAACCCCAAAACCCCAAAACCCCATCAGACAATAAGCTGATGAAAAAATAAAGTTATAGAGATTTATATGGATTTCATGAGTTATTTGAAATTCCTTTAAGCTAATATAAATTAAGTAGGTTTTTGTCAAAAATATTAATAATTAAACCGACCAGAAGATGGGTTGTATAACTAGTTCGGATTCAGGCTAAGTAATAAGATCTACAATTGTCAGTATTGATCATCAGTTCAATCAGTTCTCTAATGATTAAAATAACTATGAGCATGTGAAAGTGCAGAGTGCATTTGGATGGGAAGAAGAAAAATAAAACTATAATTCAAATAACAATCAGCAGTAGCAGTTTCGCAATTAGAATAATCAAAACGAGGTAGTATAAATAAATGGAGATAGCAACTAAAGAGTAGAAACTCGTTTAACTAATAATGAGAACTCACAGCACCAACTTTAAAACGTCGAGATTTAGCAATCATCTCATCCAAAATAGTAGGATAAAGATATAGCTAAAGGTCTGCCATCTTAGCAGCCATATTAGTAGCAGATCGTATCTTAAAATAATGTCGTTCCATCTTAGATGAAAAACATGATGTCTACAATTCAAAATCAAATAGTCAAACAGTATGAAGTTTTCAATAAAGAATAAACTTCAGAAATGATGAAGAACATTTAAAATACTCTTAGGATAATTAGTACTTCTAAAGAATAAAATAAACCCATAGATAATCCCACAAAAGAAATAAAATAAAGTTTCCAGAAAAGATTGTAACACTATATGTAAAATGAAAGGCAAGCTGACAAAAGTTTGAATAAGATATTGTGTACGAGAAATCATCCAATGCAAAAACTTACCTTTACCATCGATAATTTTGAAGAGTAATGCACTAAATGTGCAGTGCCAGTCGCAGGTGAGTAAAAAGCTCCATTTTTCTATTCTTGTGTCTATGTTGGCTGTCCCTCAACTTTCTGCGTAAAATGTTTTAGAAAAGCATAAAAAGATTGGAAATTAGTTGATACTCGGTGGAAGTTATCTTTTTAAATCAATGAATAGATAGACTGCTTTGAGTTTACAAATATTGAAATTGGAGTATGTACTTGGGGTCACGAGCTTACACATTGTAAAGGATACATCTATAATGAAGATGGCTGGGACCACTTAATCTGCGATTTTTGCAGGAAAGATGTATATTTTGAATCTATGGAACCATATTGGACCTGCCGTAACAAGAGTATGTGTAGTATGTATATGCTTTGTGATGAATGCTATGTTTTGCATTACACAAAAGAGATTGCTGAACGATAGAAGTCCAAAAAATCTCTTGTTACTAAGCAAGATGATGAATTAAGCTTAAGAAAGTCCTTCTTCCCAATCATTGTAGCTGTAACAAATTAAGTAATGTGCCATCAAAATCATAACGTTATTCTGCTTCAAGGAAATTTATACGGTTTATATGATGAGCCAGGAGCTTTCTGCGATATCTGCAGAAAAGAAGTAACTAATGCAAAACAATTTTGGGCTTGTGTTAGTTGTCACTATGATGTTTGCTGTGAATGTTTTTCATCTTTTATCGCATAAGATACAGAAGAGCAGTAAAAGAAATAAGGAACTCTAAAAATTTAAATGGATTTGAAAATAAAAAAAAAGCTTCAGGGAAAATGTAATAGTGGTCATCCACTATTATCAATGATGGGAAATCTCTACGAGGTGATTAGTGGAGACTAAGATGTTTAGCATAATTGCGACATCTGTGAAGCAGTTGAAATCAATAAGCAAGCAACATTTTGGAATTGCATCAAATGTAAATACGATTGTTGTAATGCTTGTTTCATTGAGAGATACGGTGCTAATTGTATGAAAGAGCAATCTGAAGTGGCTTAATTACACATGATGAACGATATGAAATTTATACCTCCATTCAGATAAGATCCAAAATGTTAGAAAGATCATACTCTTGTTTGTTTATCAGGTAAAATTTACCCTAAAGGTCTTGAGCATAATTGTCATGAATGTGGAGACAGTAATTTAGTTTAGTAAAAGAATTTTTGGAATTGTTTTGTATGCGAATATGATATTTGTCAAAAATGTCTAGTTGATAATTAAGGTCCTTACGTTATTGTTCCTAAAATAGAATAAACCTGTATTGTTAGTAAAATATAAGGAAAAGAGTGGCTTACATGCTTCCTAAGACATATTCTTAAATAGACTGTCGGTAAAGTCTATGTCAAGTATGATTTTGTTAGCTGTAATACTTGTGGAAAATAATACATGGAAGATGAAAAATATTTTTGGAATTGCTCAATATGTGATTTTGATAATTGCAAGTCTTGTGGAAGAAAAGCTCTAAGATCAAAGACCTAATAAGAGGCAAAAGAAATCTTAAAAAGATAGAAAAAGGAGACCTACAGAAACATGTGGCATGAGAGAGGATTCTAATATTTAAGAGATCATGGTGAAGAAGAATACAAATAGTTGATGCAATGCTTCACCGATAATTATCTACGTAAAAGAAAAGCTATAAAAATTGCTCAAAAGGATTGGACTGCAGCTCTAATTCAACAAATTAGATATGAAATAGTTGAAGTTCTCAAAGATAAAAATGCTTACAAAAGTGGTAAATTAGCAAGACTAATATTGCTTGACTACCTCTGCCTTAGAGATGGATTTAATAATGGGCATTAGATTGATTTTATCACCAAAGATTATTAAGATGCTGTAGAATTAGTTATGTCAAGAAATAGTGTTAGATAGCATTTAGGTGAAAAACTAGAAGTGTTCTTTAGAGATATACAATTCGATGATGGTGACTTATATCCTAAAATGAAAGAAATAGTTTTAGAAAGATTAGAAAAAGGTTAATACAGCAGTGATTTCACCGGACTGAAATTGATATTAATTTGTGCTGCTAATGAAGCAGTGAAACTCAAGGATTAATATGTCAAAGATATGTAGACTATATTACTGCCATTCATGAATGAGAAAGATAAATCCTAATTTTTGGCAGGTTGCAAGTTTGGTAATAAACCTCTTATTTATGGACAATTCCATCATGGAATGCTGAGAGCTCAGATGAAGTTTTTAGAGGAAATGAATGCTAAATCATCTGAGGGTAATATTTTATCTTCCTATATCAAAGGACTTAAGGAAATTAGTAACATTAAAGATATGATAGAATTTCACTAAAACAGTTTGGCTGAAAAATTCTAAGAGATAAGTGACTAAGATTTAGATAACTATTCTATAAAGCAATAAGATTTTCTTAGATGCAAAGGCTACTTTCCTACTCCTGAAAGCATTTTCTAAGCTGTAAATGCCATTAAGAATCATGAGGGAATAAAACTGGTAAGAATTAAGAATAGAATAAAAGCTCTTGGTGATGTTATGGTTAACTATTGGTACGGAGATAATGTTATTGCTGAAGCTTAATTAGTATTGTAAACCTTCCAAGGAATGACAGACGATTAGATTAATCAATACAAATTGGTCACTGATTTCAACCATTTTGCTTATGAATTATCCAGAAATCCTTTGGGATGTCTAGTTCATTGTATCGAACTTTTGATTAAGGAGCAGGCAGATGAAGAACTAAACACTAGAGAGTGGGATGCTGTATGCACTGTTCGAGGAGATAGAATAGGATTCGAACTTCTGAATTTTGAAATCAACGAGGACAATGAAATCACAGGGGATGGAGAGGATAGAGACGGTCCATTTACAATGGAAGGGTCTATCGATGAAGATGGCTAAGTAACTATTAATTATAACTAGAATGGCAATGATTCAACCTTGATTGGCACCTTTAATGCAGATAGGACAAGGTTTGATGGATACTTTGACTACGGAGAGGATTCTGAGGAAGGAAATTATGTCAAGTTTATATTCCAGAAGAAGAAAAAGTGATTCTTATCTTATTTATGAGCTAATTTTTATGTTTATAGATAACTATTAATTTCCATTAAAATTAACTATTTAACTGTATAAAATTAGAATCTTTTAACAGTGGGGTTTTGGGGTTTTGGGGTTTTGGGG